CCATCGAAATATATACCCACAAAAAGTGAAAGCAAAGTTTTCAGAGGGATGAAATGAAATTGGGGTATTTTGCACTGGCCTCGGATAACAAAAAGAGGATCTAGAAGCAGCGAGGCTCCTGCAGAAGCCATCAGCGTGCTCTTTGCTCTTACTGCCCTTCTGTCTGGAGGTTGTGCTGCTCTAAGGGGGAAAAAGTCATCCTTGGGGGTGTGACGGTGAGGTGGTGCAGTTCCAATAAAGAGGATATTTCAGAGATGCGCAGCTTGAAAATTGTAGTTTCTGCGTGTGTGCCTGCATGTAGATGTTTTCATTAGTGGGACTTGTTATTTCCAGCACATAGCAGCTATATTTTATCCTAATATGAAGTAAGGAGATGGAGAATGACAACGACTTTTCAGTACTCTTTTGTGGCAAAATGTATATTGAAATCACTGTTATAGAAAAGAAGGGATGAAATGCTTTCTTTTTTTTTCCTAGTAAATTAAAAGGCAAAGAAACAATCGCCTCATTTTATGTTAGTAATCATTCAGAGATAAATTTATTTCCCTTTTGAAAGTGCTGCTTTTCTCCTCTACAGAAGACTTGAAAAAGCAGTCCAGTGATCTGCTTTTGGCCTTCTATCTGTGCTAAAATCTCAAGCTTAAAACTTAATTTGTGGAACACTCAAGAGGTTTTTCTTTATTCATTACTTTTTTTTTCCCCTCCCATCTCAAAGTCTGTACTGCAGTCTTCACTCTAGCTAAAAATGGGCTGAGTGTGTAGTGAAGGCTGCCTTGGTTGCTCACATCAAAGGCTTTGCAAATAAACTTCCTAAATAATGACGTGCAGTGTTCTTTCCCTGTTACCTGTGCGTTTCAGAGATGTTCTGTTTAGTGGTATGAGCTACTTCAAGTTTAGCTGGCAACTGTAGTGTAAGACTTCGTGATTATCTGAGTTCTGAGTTGCTCCATGTGCTATAAAGGTCACGTAATACATTCTATTTTTTGTGGGTTTTCTTTTTTTTTTCTTTTTTTTTCTTTTTTTTTAGCAATGCTGAATCGTACTCGAAGCACCTGTCTGCCTGGGGGTGGTGGTATAATCTGCAAAACAGAGTTGAAAGACTATAAGCTTAAAAACAGAGCTCACATATGAAAAAGACAAATGGTCTTTTGTGCTGTTTGTAATTGGTTGTCTCCCTTCTGTTACTATATACCTTCCCCAGATTAATTTTCTGAGCATTATTAAAACTTTGTGATTCTTGTGCAGGGCAGTTCATCAGAAATAAATCTCAGGTGAGCCATGACAGCTTTCTTTGTGCTGTGCTAGTTTTGCAGAATGAAACTGACTGACTTTTTAATTGAGCGCCTTTCTGGAACAGAAGCAAGCAGATGGGAATCTAGGTGAGAGCCTACAAAAGGAGGAAGAAATTCCTGAGGAAAGAAGTGTGCTGAAGATGACTTAGCTTGTGATCTAGCAGTCAGTAAATGTGGGAGCTAAAATAAGTGGCTGTCCACCTATCATCTGTAACATGGGAAGTGCAGAAATCATTGCAGTACTTGGGTGCTCAGCACTTAACTGCTGTGGTGTGAACCCTGTCGTCATAGAGTGCTGCTGGCTGCTCAGAGAGGTGCTCCTGAGGGCAAGGATGTCATATAGGTAAAAGCACTTCTGGGATATATGGTAAGAGGGGTGAGTGGGTGCTCTGTGAATTGCCCAGTAATGCTGAGGTGACCTTCAGATACCTTACTGACTTTTGAGAGTGCTCTAACTCTTAAAGGCACACTCAGCAATTTCTCTCAAGCTTTTGTGAGTTCTAATCAAGATTGCTTTTTCAGTAAACAGAACACTAAGTATACCCCATGCAACAAAAGTTTATATTTAGCTTGTGGTTGGAAGCAGTGCCACTCTTCTGCCTCAGAACAAGTGCCAAAGCAGACTGAAGTAGTCCGTGTATTTTGGTGTGTTGAGTCCCTGCTGAGTTGGGGCAGGTTTCTGCTGTGCTTTGTTGCATCTAGGTCAGGTGGAGGGATTTTTTAGTCAGCCTCTTCCTTTGAAGAGATTGAGGGAGTATCTACAGAAACTACGCAATCCCATTTGAAGGCAGACTTCATTTTCCTCTTCATACATGGTTGAGATGGTCTGTTTCCATCTTTCTATGTAAAGCAGGGAAAAGGGAAGGTCTCTCTTTTTTTTTTTTTTTATGGATTTAATAAGGGACCTGCTTAGTAAGTGACAGCTCTCAAAATTGTTCAGTGATTGAGTGCAGAAGAGCTTGAGTATCTCACTGGATGTGTCCAATGTATGTCTTTTGTCTCAGGGCCTGTCAAACATAAGAAAACTGGGGGGGATAGGCATATTAAAAATTAGACTTAAAAGTGTGTGATACTTTGCTTGTTGTAGGCAAGCAGAGTTTGGAGGAAGTCAAACACTTTGGTGGCACAAGTCATTTCTTGATGGAACAGCTGAATGAGGCTGCCTGAAGTAGTGGCAGTGAGCACTGGCCTGAAGCCCACATCTCCCTTGCTTGAGAATACCCAAAGAACACTGGGGAACTCAAAGGCCTTTTTCTTTCTTTTTTAAACTGTGTGCACCTCTCTGTGAATGCGGTTGTGAACTTTTGACATTCTGCATGGTCTTCTGGCGGCAAGGAAGGGGAAGAAGGCTGTATGCACCAGGTTGGCAATCTGCCTCTTAGGCAACCCTCAAAATGATTTGGGGGCCCTCTACCTATTCAGAATGCTCCATTTCCATAGGCAGTGTTTTTAGCAGTAGTTTTCATTGCTGAAGCAGCAGAGTGAAGGTGCTCTGGAGCCTGCAGAAAAGTGTGTAGCGGAGTTAAAGGAACTTTCTTAGAGTTGAACCAGGAAGAAGAAGAGGCACTTGGCAGTATCTACTGTATTGTTCCATTCAGCTTTCTAGTTATTAATCTGAGGAGTTTATGTCGTTTGAAGTAAGTCCCTGCTATGCAGCTATGAAGAGAGACTGCCAATTACAGTACACATGGTTAGTTCATTCTTGGCCAAGAGAGGAAGGCCGGAGAATAGTGCAGAAGTGGGAAAGCCCATCCCTTCTAATGGACATTTGTGTCCTGTGCAAAGAAACAGCATCCCGTGTTTCTCTGCAGACTAAGATTGTCTTTAGGGATCACTGGGTATCATTCCTGCAGCTGTTACAACACAGGAAGGTGTTCCACACCTTAATTATTTGACCAGTCCTTCTGCAAAAAGGATATTGCATGCCAGTGTTGATAATTCATGAAATACCTTTCAGTGTAACCCTAATCTTAGAGCCATATGAAACTTTATATCATTAATTTTCTGGACAATATTGAGGAACTGGAACAGGGGAACCGTTTATTTTCATAACTAAGGAGAAACCTTCAAGCAAGCACCTGTAATTACAATTTGTTTCCTCATAGAAACTGAAGAAAATGTGTTCTTTGCATCAAAATTTGTAGACACTGAACATTAACTTAGTTTAACTGTAAGCTTTTATTAATCTTTGTTTTCAGCAGGTAGTCTGGATTAGAGGTAGAGATGTAGTTGAACAATGTTGTTTTCTTTAGCGTGGCTTTTTTCATAACTTCATATGAAATCAGTTGGTCAAAACTTTTTCTTAAATGGATGTGCTCTGTAACACCAAAATAATGTATGTTGGCTAGCCTTCTCTTTGCTTAATCTATCCTAACTTCCAAAAGCAGACAGTCTCTGCAGGTGTTCCTTTTTGTTGCTCTATATTAATGTCTTAGCTTTTCAGGTTGTATATTTTTTTTCCCACTCAGTCATCTTCTGGAACCTAGTTACTCGTGCCGTGTTATTTCCCATGCCTGCAATGAAGGGGAATTTCTTGAAGCAGTCTTCATATATCAAGAAGAAACAAAAGGGGTGTGACCATATCTGTCTGGAAGATGAGCAGCAGATGTGTTTGTTATTAACATGGAGCATCAGAGGGGATGTCCAGGAGGCAGATGGAGGACCAGAACAGTACTAGGTGTGGTACTTGAGCACTACTGGATTCAGAGCCTTCAGCAGTTGTAGGATCAGACCAGCTGTCTTTTTTTATAAAGATATTGTGTGCAATCATGTTTTTACTTAAGATGAAGCTGATGTGCTGTCTGCTACGCGGGCCGCCTCAGAACCTGGATGATACTGGTAGCTACATCATATGGTTGTGCACTTCTTGCTTGCAGTTAAAC